AAGAGCTACTGTAGTGCTCAGCAAAGTTGCAACAAGCGCTATTGCCAAAATCACAACTTAGTGCCTCGAATTTGGCTGGAGGTGGATTTCAGCTTTGTTTTTGTCTACTTCAGACTTAAAAGGCAAAAAGCCTGGCACAACAAAAGGACTGACTCTCTTGCCTGTTATTAAAAGAAACACCTCCCCCAGCCCAGTGAGGAGTTGTGCAAAATGTGGGCTTTGGTTAGAAGCACTACCTTTCTGTGTAGGGCTGTGGTTGTTCTCCTTGCTCTTGTGTAGGAAGTTTCACCTTGGGCTTCTTCAGGCATGGTGTGAAAAATTAAGGCCCTGTGAATGTGAGTCCTTTGTATGTGCCTTTTCTGGGGTGGAATTTCCTATTCTAAGGGTCTTCTGTTCCTGAAACATCCAGCCCTTAAGAATCACCATTTTGAAAAATGGTTTGGGGTAGAAATATCTGCAAATTCCCAAGACAAAAATCCATCCAACTTTTTTCGGTCTTCTTAGCATCTAGTATTATAAAAAGGGCCACAATTTTTTCCTTAGGAGCTTTCACTAAAGAGCTGTGTTGAACTGAGTTTTGTAGCTAGTACTGCTGTGCTGAGCTGGCTGTTGAATAAAATGATTGATTTCAGTGGATTCCTTCCTGAGTAGCATTATGGATACTGACGGGATACTTATGCCATCTTACGTGTGATTTGGAAGGTAAGCTGAAAGCAAATTTCAGGCTTCATCAGATCTGGATGGGAAAATAACAGTCAAAGGACTGTCCTGCTGGCATGCCTCCACTGAGATACAGGAGTTAAATACATTGCCTCCACTATAGAGGAGAATAGGCACAGTATTATTATCCTGTTGCATGGACTCTATGTAATATATGCAAGCTGTTATCTACAGATCGCTTTTGCAAGCTCTTTTCTTCTGTGAGTTCATGTTTGGCAGCCATTAATTCCTCAAGTGCACAAAATTCTGCTTAAACATCTCCTTTGCATTAATTTGGTCTTATTCCATTCAGGAAAGGTCTATGCAGTTCTGCTGCTCACCAGCTTAAAATCTGAAGAGATGTAGGAAAGTGGCTAGGACTAATACTATTAAAGTAACCATTTTAATCACTATCTGCCATAGCTGGGGCAGGATATGAAGAAACTGCCCAAAATAGTTGATGACAATATTTTGATTGGCAGGTATGATTTGTTCCCCCTGCTTTAAAGCAAGTTTATACATTCAAAGCCTGAAAGAGATGAATCAGTTCTAGGGGGGAAAAGTCTGAGGAACAAAATATATTTATTTGGAAAGTGAAATCTCTCCTCAAAAAAGTGCTTAAAACAAGAGCCTGGTCTGAATCTGAATTCACATGCAATTCTGCTTAGACTAGTGTTTCCATTGAAGAAACTGCAGCAGGGTTGGAGCAGCCAGCGTGGGATATTTTCAGGTCCTCTCACACGGTGGTAGACTTGTTTTGCTCCCTGTTCCTCTCAGGCTTTCTTTGCTGTTGACCTAATTTTTGCCTGTGCAGTGTGTAAAAATCCCTCAAGTATCATCACAAACGGCACCCATCCAACAAACACGCTGTGGGTGACGCAGACACTGGTAGGACTGAAAGGCCATGGCGCCAAAGTGTTGGCTCGCCGCTGATGTGTCAAATATCACAAGGCAAAAGGCTTTGTCTCTCTTCTGTCATCCTGATTTATTAGACGTTAAAAAGGACAAAGTACCCAGACATACAAACATCGCTGTTTTGGGAAGGTCTGTGAAATGGTTAATGCGCTTGTTCCGCACAAAAATGTAAAGTGTCGGTTCTCTGATTACCTGCCGCTGGAAAGTGTTTGGACAGGTGCTGTGTTTCACCAGCCGTCTGTCAGAGCTGACAGCTCGGGTTTATGGCTGCGCACCGGGGCCGGCCGGCTCCGCTCCGAGCGCCGGGCTGGGGCTGGGGCTGGGGCTGGGGCCGGTGCCCGCGGCCGCTCTGCCCGCCCGGCGGGGCTGCTGCGGTGCCTCTGCCGTGTGCGGGGCCACAGCACCAGCACAGCGGCTTTTTCCTTCCCGTGCCTTCACTCCCTCGAAGGCAAATCAGCCGGCGTGCTCTGAGAAGTAGCGCGAATGGGACAATTTCTACCCAAAGGTCAAGAGGGGGAAATTCATCTCTTGCCACCTATTAGGAGGATGATGCTCAGGCAGGAGGAGGCGGAGAAGACCCTCCCTACCCTTCAGCAAGCGACAGCCGCACAGCCCCGCCGCCGAGCGGGCTCCGGACAGCAGGCGATACCTGACCCCTGCTCCCATCGCCCCGCACCGGGGACCACTTTAAACCCTCATCCCGACCGTCCGAGGAAATCCAAACAAGGGCTAAGAAAGGACAGCGAGGACACAGATGTCCCTGTTACTGTACTGTTGACATACGTTTCTCGACATATCGAAAAAAAATACAGAATAGAATACTTATTAACAAGGGATATGTCGAACTCTGCGGGCTTTTTTTTTTTTTTTCTTTCTTGTTTAAAAAAAAACTCTATATCATCCTGTTCAACATACGTTTACACACAGTTCATCCTTATTCACACTTAAATCTATCAGATTAAAATACACGCTTGTGGCTATAATAACTAATTCCACTTTCCATCAAGATATTTTTAACATACCCTGAAAGATGACTTTTACAGATGGACAAAAGCAAAAGACACTAGGAGTTGCATGCTAACAGGTCATATGGACTCCTATAAAAAAGAGATGGTAAAATACAAGCCAGAGGAAAGAGCAGATTATGGAAGGGTAGATTAGTATTTGCACAGAGCCTTGAAGGCAGAATGATGTCGAAACAGTGTGTGTGTATATGTGCGTGCGCGTGTGTACATAAAAACCAATTCCTTCAAGGGCTGGATTACTTCATACATTAGTCACTAATCTCTCGCAATGTTCTGATGGATGTTATGGTCTGAGCTTAACGCACCGTGAAATCTGTTTGAGCTGTATTGAAACAAGTCGGTGTTTTCGGCCGCAGATTGTTCTGTTTGAAGCTTTCCTTTCACAACACACCTTTGCTGTTCAGAATAATTTTTGAGAGTAGGGTAGAAGCTAGGATTCAGCAGCTGAATCTCGGCGCTGAGGGAACAAGAGGTTGGTGAGAAACTCCAAGCTCCGAAATAGGTGTAATTAAAAATTCTCCTTGACATCGTTTTTTTTAGGTAACCTGAGCTTACAGAGGACTTAAAGGGGAAGAAACTCGCCGATTTTCATACATTTAAAAGTATTAATTAAAACAAGCAACCGAACAAACGAACCCCGAATGATCATTTCAGCATTTGTATAAACTCTTCGAGTTCGGGGAAGACACTAATTTGTAATTCAGCAGCACGGGCAGTTGGCCTCCCCAACCTTTCTTTTTCCCGACTTAGCCCTTCTGAGGCTTTGCTGATCACTTCTGACAATACAAAATCAGCCTTAACATAACGCCCATCGGGAGAAGGCAACGCGTGCAAACTTTTTATTACCAGCAGATACTTCCCCAGCTCTCACCCCGCTGAGGATTCGCCCGGTGTAAGTGCCACCGGGGATATCTCCACCAGAAGCAACCGGAGCCCGGTTGTGCCAACGACCTTCCTGAAGCGAGTTTTCCTTGGACCGAGAGATGACAACAGGATTACATGTCGCCTGCTGTCCTTCGTGGGAAAAATAACAACCACAACCACAATAACAACAACAGAAAAAAAAAAAAAAAAACCCAAAAAAAAAACGGAGGGGAAGAAAAAAACTGGCAGGCAGATGTACAGTATTTTCACAGGCTGCCCCACGTCAGGTGGTTTGCCTGCAAATCTCTCTGCCTGCAAATCGCCAGCATTTCTGCAGGGCTGAACCCCGGCGAGAAATTCTGATTTGACTCGAGGAATTGCAGAGGACTTTCATACCTGGCGGCAGCCCAAGAGGAGAACTTCTCATCTCCCGTGACTAAAATAAGGCGGGTCCATAGGTGGCACCTCTACCCGCCGGCCGGGATGGGGATGAAAGGGCGGGCAGCCCTGCTGCCCCCGCAGCCCTAGCCAAGCTTCTCGGTCAAGGCTGTCCCACGACAGGCTTCCCTCCCTCACGCCAGCACAGACATCACGCTCTTCTCCTTATTACCGCCTTTATTTAGGGGGCAGCTTTTATTCGGGGAAAAGGAGAAAGGAAAAAAACCGGAAAAACATGATGGCCGAGCGTCAATAAAATGCACACGCACATATATTACATACAAACATAAAAATAAAATACGAAAAAATTTACTCTTCTCTTTCCAGTAGCAATGGTCTTGACCACAAACGTAGAACGCCGGCCAGTACAGGAGACAACGCCTGACATTTCCTTGAGCCCTTTCCCCTCTCCCGCCCCCTCCAATAATTAATTTTAAAAGCTGCACTCTCTTTGTGTTAAAAACACTACTTTTATAAATAATTTAATATCCTCCCTTCCCAGGAAATGCCAGCTGCCGGACAGGAGAAAAGGTTTCTTTTGGCACAGTGATGCATTGCTTTGCAGTACAGACCTACGGCTCCTCAGCAGACCCCGGCCCCCTCCCCTACTCTCTCCCTGCTGTTCCCGGCCCCCGCTCCCTCCTCCCAAGCGCACAGCGCATCCCCCAGCGGCCGCCACCGCGCCCTCCGCGGGGCGCCCCCGCTCTGCTGCCCCAGGCTTCGGTAGCAGGAGATGTGGGGACAAGAGAGGGGCACAGAAAGGAGATGGCGAGGGACTGGCTTAAGTCAAGTAGTCTCAACGAACAGTAAGAAGCACTTGAGGCTCATGGCTATGTCCAAACAGACAGTTGTTTGAATGGGGCGGCGCGGGGTCCTGCCGGCCGCTGCAGGAGGCTCTCGATGGCGAAGGAGCTGGAGAACTTGGCAGCGCCGCCGCCCGCCGGCCTCGCCCCGCCACCCCCCGCCGCTGCCTCCTTGGCGCCCGGCGCGCAGTGGCAGGGCGAGGAGGCGCAGCAGCACCGCGGGGAAGCGCCGGGGGACGCGGCGCCTTTTTTTTTTTTTTTTTTTTGGCTTAAGTTAAACCCACTGTCATTTCACTAAGGCACAGTCACCGAGGCTTTTGCTTGGAGGCTGTGGTCGCCTCTGGAGTTAAAGTGCGGGATCCAGAGCCTCCTCCTTTCCCCCTCCACGCCTCCCCGGGCAGGTCCCTCGCAGGGGAGGAGGGGGGCTCCATTAAGCCAGCGGGGTCTCCACGGCGTACGGCTGGAACGAGGTCGAGCCCCCCGCTGCCGGCGGCAGCGGCCCGGCCAGCCGGAGGGGCCCGTAGACCGGGGAGCCGGACGGCGGCCCCCGCCCGCCCTTGGGGAAGCCGGCGTGGAACAGCGGCGCCCGCGGCCGCTCCGCCAGCGGCGACGCCTCCCCCGGGGCCAGCGCGGGCCGCCCCCCCAGCAGCAGCGGCGGCGGCGGCGATGGCTCCGCCAGCCCGTAGGCGCAGAGCTGCAGGAGGCCCCCGCCGTAGAGGGCGGCGGCGGGCGGGGGCTGCGCGGCAGGTGGGTAGGGCAGCAGCGGGTAGGGGCCGGGCAGCAGGTGCGGGGGCGCGGGCGGCGCCGGCCACAGGAGGCGGGCGTGCGGCGTCGGCGGCGGCGGCGGGGCGGCGCGGCTGAGGCGCTTGCGGCGGCGGCGGAAGACGCCGTCGGCGAAGGTGTACTCGCTGCTGGGGTTCAGCATCCAGTAGTTGTCCTTGCCCCAGGGCCGCGCCGGGTCGCGCAGCACCTTGACGAAGCAGTCGTTGAGGGAGAGGTTGTGGCGCACCGAGTTGCGCCAGCCGGTGTAGGCGCCGCGGAAGAAGGGGAAGCGGCTCATCAGGTAGTCATTGATCTCGGCCAGGGTCAGGCGGCCGCCGGCCGAGTCGCGGATGGCCATGGCGATCAGCGCGATGTAGGAGTAGGGCGGTTTCGGGCGCCGCGTGTAGGGTTTCCCCTTGGCGCTCTCGGCAGGCGGCGGTGGCGGGGGCTGCGGCGTGGGGGGCGGCGGAGGGGGATGCCCCGGCCGCCCGGCCCCGCCGCCCGGGCTGTTGGCCGCGCAGTCACCGTCCGAGCCCAGTTCGCTCTCCGCCGGAGCCGGGGAGAGCGAGCCGCTGCCTTCCTGGTCGCTGCCGGTGCTCAGTTTGTCCTCATAGTGCTGCGAGAACACCTCCAGCTTCATGGCGGCGGCGCCGCCGGCCCCCCCGCACCCCGCGGCTCCGCTGGGCGGGCGCGACCCCCGCCCCTCGGCGCGGCCTCAAGGGAGGCGGGAGGCGGCGAGGTGACCCAGGGGCTTTCTGTCCCCTCGCCGGCTTGGACAGCTCCGCGGCGGCAGGCGCCTGCCTCGGCTCCGCTGGGCGCCCGCCTCAGCCCGCCGGCCCGGGGTCGCTAGCAGAGCCCGGCCCCTTCGCCGTCGGTGGGCGCCGAGGACGGGCTGCGGTGCCCTGCCGCCTGCGGGACTGGGGGATTCCTCCGGGCGTCCACCTCCTTCTTCCCCACTGGGATGCTCGCTCTCCTTTGGCCCCCCTTTTTGTCCTTCTCGCTCTTTACTCTCGCTGCTCCATGGGGCCGAAGGAGAGGGGCGAAGAGGTCCCCGGTGCGAGTGGAGGGCGGGCGGGCGGCTGCCGGAGCCGGCACTTCTCCGTGTCCGACCGGGCTCGGTCCTCCTCGGGGGCGCTGCCGCTGTTACCGATCGGCGCTCCCCGGGCGCGGGGAGAAGCTCTCGAGGGCCGTCGGGGTTAACTCCGCTCTCTCCGGCTTCGACCCCTGTCAGTGCCGGGACGCCGGGCTGGCTCCTCGCTGCGAGGCGGGCAGCAGACGGGTTATTAGGGTTATTAGTGTTATTGTCATTATCTCTCCCTTCCCCTGTGGTTGTGTGTCTCTCCACCACTTTCAGACCAGCCCATTATAACGCCGGCGAGAGGCGGAGCCAGGACAAAGATCTGAAAGGGTGGTGGGTGGAGAAGCAAGGTAGCAAAGGTGGGTATGCCCTAATAAGCCGTATCAGAGCCGTAATTAGCCAAGATGACAGCGAGGTCTTGTTGGAAAGTTATTTTACGAAACTTGTTTGTATTTTCTCCTGCCAGGTCCCTCCCCTTCCCGGGTATTTCGAACGAAGCCGCAGTTCGGTGCGACTAAGCAGAGCCGGCCCGCCTCCCAGGTGTAAAATGCAGAATGACTTATAGGTGGCAGAGCTGAACCTGTTACGTGCAGTGATTTATTTTAATAGCGCCGTATAAAGCAACAAGTTGTAATATGACAGCTCAACAACCTGTTGGAAAATAATACATGGCTTTGCAGTTGTGAATTCCTAATGATTTATGTAGCCTGACAAAACAGTTTCAGTCCTGGTCTCTCTTTCCTTCTGTCATAAGCACACCTGGTGCAGAGGTAGAATGGGAACAGGTAGGCAGTGCTTTGGAGTTTTCTATGAGAGAGTTAGTCAAAGCCTTAACCTCAGTTTTACGTGTGCTACTGTTTCTGTAGTAGCGTGGCTTAAGCTCTTCTGGATGGTGTGTTAGTAACCTCTCTCACAACTGCCACTCTCTAGTAAAATCTTTTATTGTGTAGGTTTTGGGTTCGGGGGTTTTTTTTAATGGTAATTTAACATTTTTAAAATCACTGCGAATCTGTAAATTTCCCATAAAACTTGGGACGATGTATTTTGCAATTTTACCTAGACACTCTTCCTTCTAAAAAAATTAGTCAACCTTTTTGGGTTTGTTTTTAGGTTTAAGTTCTCAGGGTCTTGCCCTCCTTCAGGTTTTTTTTTTTTTTTTCTCCTTCAACATTATGCTAGGTAGAGCAACTCAATAAAGAGAGCTAGCTGGCAGTAGCTTCTCTGAAAGCTCCCTGTTCTGCTCACTGAGAGTCCATTGCAAAATGCCATTTCACTCATACGGCAGTAGCGCTGGCGTCTGCAAAACAATAACAAAAACATCAGCAGAAATCCAGTGTGGTGCTTATGTTTTATTTCTCATATGTATGCTTCGAATTTTGTGTCCTGGAGTAAGAGTTGGATTGCTCCATGTTTTCCAAAAGCAGTCTTTCTAAATCAGACCTTATTTTAGAATAAATACATAGTGCAGAGTCACTCTGGTTAGAACTATTCTACTGTGGTCTGGCTCTCAAGGAGTATTGGAGAGGAAGATGAAAAAAGACAGGTTTAAAAGACTAAGAGGAGAAACAAACAGCCCTACTTTCTATCTTGATCTCTCTTGAGCAGAATATATGGTCCCCCACACACACCTGCATTTTGTATCAAAGCTTTGCCATTTCTTCAGTCTGCGTGAGTTTATATGGTAAATACTGAAGAGTGAGAGGTTCTTCTGTCCCTCATTGCATTCTTGACAGCTTTAATAGAAATAATAATACACTGGATGTCTTGCTGTTCTCACAAAAGCTGTACCAGTTGAGAAAAGCAGGCAATTCAGAAAGACAAAAATAAGAGGAGGGAGACCTCTCTTGGTTCATTGTTGTTGTTGTCTCCATGTAATGTAAACTGAAATCCTTCAGTAAATTGTTGTCTTAGCTGTAGGTGCCAATGTTTGTGTTTAAGGGTATGGGAAAAAGGTATCATTCCTTCCAAAACTCATATTTTCTACGATGATGCCAATGGCAAGGGTAGGTTTGTTCCTCTTCCTGCTTTTGTTGTAAATAGCAGTGAAGTAGCGATGATTTGCTAGCTTGCCTTTGATGTTTATTTTATTACCGTTCCACTATTTGTGTGGAAAATGTACACATTGTCTCTTATCTTTATTCAAAGAACTTAAAAAGTCATTCAAATGCTGTAGGTAAACACGTCAGACATAACAGAAGCTTTTTCACAGCCATACTTCAAGACTAGGAGTGGATGGCAAAGCTGGTTTTGCAAGATTCAAGAGGGGACAGAAGCTTGTACTCAAAATAATACAAAGATAGCTATTAATGGGTGGGAGCAGGGCACCTTTCTAAGATCAGCACTGATTCTTGTGCTGGCTCAAGGCCTCTTTGCTATCTCTGAGCCAGTGCCTGTTGTAAACTGTCCCTTGAAATCTCTGGTGTCTCTGACCTGAGAAAATATATGAAAGGTGCTTATGAAAGGTCTGTGCAGGGTTTAAATAGAGCCTTCCTGGCCTGAGTGAGAGCAATATCAAACCCATTGCTAACGCTGCCCATGGAACACCAGCAAAGTTGTAAGAAGTGGTGAAATAATCCAACTACTCCCATCTCTCACCACTGAGAGTATATGTAACCTCAAGTCTTTTCCTGCTATAGTTTTTAAAAAGGCACAGTATCGCCTTCAGGTTTATAAAGATTAACACAATCATCGGAAAAACTGATTCTGTTAAGTAAACTTCACATCAAAAGCACTTTGATGTGCTGTATTATAGCAAAGCCAAACACCCCACCCCCATCACCCCAAGAAATACCTCCAAAAACCTCCAGTGAAGCAAGGTAAAAAAAAAAAATCTAATTCTTTGTTCTAAAATGAAATGTCTCTTCCTCTTTAGATCAGCAGAGCAGGACTTTTTTTGATGTATGATCTCTTTTCCTACCCAAAACAGTATCCAGTCAAAGACAAACGGAGAAATGTGAATGGTCGCTTGAAAATCACGCGACCAGCTTTGCTTCCCATTTTCTGTAGTATTTCACTCATTTAATTCAGAAACAGTCTACCAATGGGTATTTGGAAATGAGGTTGTATAGTCCTTTGCAGTTTGCTCAAGCTACCAATTACAAAAATATTCCTTACTAAATGTAGAAAAATGCTACGCTGTCTGGTGGTTGTGAGTGTATTTTTGGTTGATCCATATTGTCTCCATGGTATTTTAAACTGTGGAGACATGTGTTTTTTAGTTCAGCAAACATCGTTGAAAGGTGCATCACGATATGTTTTTGGTTCAAATTCTTTTAAAAAATTATTTCTTTCTGGTTCTTACTTCTCTTTTCTGCCTTCTGTCTCTCCAGACCACTAACTATAGATTAGAGAGGGTTTCCAGGTAAGATCATATAAGAACAATTGGTCAATAAAGGTCTCTGTGGTGTCTGGGAAAGTCCTGTAGTTAGTGGTAGGCAAGCTTATTTGTGCACCTGAGATGTCCAGCACACCAGCTGGACAAAGTGCTCCATCATCTCTTCTCCTCCTGCGGCAAGCTGCAGGAGTGCACTGCCTTGCCAGGAACGATCAGACTGGACAATGCAATACACTACGTGAGAAACAATGGAGCAGTTCAAAGAGTTCGCTCTGGATGGGCTGCTCGCAGCAGGAGGTGTGCCTAGCATGCATAAATGAACTACAGTCTGTGAGGGTTGGCTAATTGCACCATGTATATTTTTGTATTTGAAGGAAATCCAGCTAGAGACTGAGCTGTAAGAAAGGAGGTTAGTGGAAATTCCTTGAGACCTTGAGAGGAAGAGTTTGATCACTGAAGCAGAATGCATGTCTGCGTGAATTCCCTCATTGGGAAAGACTGGCACTTTTTCAGAAGGACATCCATTCCCTCTGGGTAGAGATTTTCTTGTGTCTTTAGCAGGTACTAAGAGCTGAATTTACAATGGGGAGTTCCATTTCAACTTTGTTTCATGCAATCTTTATTTTCTTGGGAGACATTACTCAGAATGAAATTTTCCCATGCTGAGAGCTTAGTATCATTTCCTCCCTGTGCCCACTTCATGTTCTATAAAAAAATGTCTGCATCGAAGCAATTTTTTTTTTCTCCAGAGCCTGGATTGTGGCAGAATGGGCAGGCACAGATTTTCGCCTGTGAAGGAAGTGACATTATTGTTCTTGTTATTAATGCTTAGTATCGGAGGAAAAAAAAAAGATTCTTACACCATCCTTTTCACCAACAAATCTCAGAGCTCTCCCATTTTACGGGCAGCAAGGAATGAAGGTGAGTCCTGCTGAAAATAATTTGGTAAATCTGTTGCAACCTTGCCTGCAGAGTTGAGCTCTCTGGAGCCCTTGCCCTGCACTGTGTCCACTGAGGTATCCACCACAAGGCCTCACTGAAAAGTGCTGTGCTATTTAGCAAGGAGCTGTCAAAATGGAGATTGCTCTGTCTCGAGACTCAGATAATTTATAGCTAATTCTCGCTTTTTACTAGTGCTGTGTTAAGCCTCCAGGGCTTGAATGAGGTTCCACACTGGCATAAGATGAACCTCTCTGGAATATATTGCAGGTTTGCAGTCTGAGAAATA